ACTTGGTACACATCCACTGGGCTCAATCAATGCCTTCTCTTATGCGAACTGAAGTAAGGCGGTGGTGGTGGCGGCGGCGGTGGCGGCCACAATGCCAAGTAGCATGGTGATGGACTGAGGCACAACTATGCTCTCCGAAGCACACGAACAACCGCGCGCGCTTTACAAGTTGCTGCAAGTTAAAGCCGCAGACTTTTTTCCGTCATCGTACTTACCAGCACAAGACGACAGACAATACATCATCATGACCTCCTACGCAAATCCGTCCACGCACTTGCATTACAGGTGGACATTTGTGCTATTCATGAATGACAACCGTAGCAAAGTAAGGAAGCATTGTAATCAATCAGAAGTACGTTGGTGTAGTGCGTATTGGAAAAGATGTGCGAGCCACCATATAGCATTACTCCTCCCGACTTACGCATTTGTTTCAGCCTGCTTTGTCCATGTGGACTTCGTGTTACAAATTACGAATATCCAAAGTGTATAGAACGAATGAATTCATGTGGTTTTTTGGTGCTGGAATTTCTATCTCACGCTTCATTGTTGTAGTGCCGTACATTGGGCACCAATCACAAACAACCCTATTAAAGAATATTGAAAGCGAGAAGTCACTACTAATTGTGATGTACGAGAAATCAAACCCTAAACTAATGGGTCAAGACGAGGGACTTGTTTTTGATTGAAGTGTAACTCATGTCTGGTTCAAGTGCGAACTTGAATCCCAATAACGTATGCTAAATGGGAAGCCATTGCGTCGGTGGATGAGAGAAAACGCATTTTAGAGAGACCGTACTTTGGTTTATATGTGAAATATCCTAGAGGGGGGAGGGAGGAGAGGGGTGAACGAATGGGGCGAGGAGAGAGGAAGCTCACAATGAGAATGGTCTTAGAGGATCACCTTTGCAGGGTTGTGACGGGGAGTAGATGGGACAGTTTACACAAAATAGGGTTGACAAATCGTTAAGAATATTGCAAGACGGCTTCTGTTAGAAGTCCATGGCTTGTAGTAGACGAATGATGCAGAAACACGAAAATGAAAAGAGCAGGCAGAAACGAATTGACTTCCATTCCTGTTGCACAATTCGGAATATTGGTATACACGAGGAGGAACGGTGAGGACGGCAGAAAAATACAACTACTCTTGTGGTGGTGTATTCTCTTGCGTAATGCGAGGGCGGTAGTGAAAATGGTGAATCGGACTCTTGACATTCTTCGAGGTGTGGTTGCCGGTTTATGAAACCAATTGTTGGGGGAGTCTTTGGCATGCATGGTTGTTACTTTTGGTTTGAAATCCTCTGTTTGGTGTGGCTTTTTTTTGGTGAAAATTGGTGAATACGTTGAGAGGTGTCTTATGAAAGCGCAATGTAGATTGTTTGAGTGTGTTCAGCGGTTATTAAGTAGGTTTATATTAGTAGATAGATACATAGGTATGCGTAACATATATATTAGATATGGAGTGATATAGAAAACCAAACACATTACCGACTTTTAAGATGCTGGAAAAATAGATGCTTTTGGGTGACTATAAGATGAGCATAATGAAACTTTCGAACAGTCTCGAGGTGGGCATGTGCGTGGTTGAAGGTGTACGAGGGATGGACGGCCATGCGACTCAAAAAATCACCTTGTACTTATAAATAATTCTGTATCAGAGCTTGCGCTAACTTGGCTTCGTACATTTTGTTATCGTAACAGATGAATTGTGACAGTGTGTGAGAGATGGAGTGAAAGGTAATGAAACGGATAGCCAAAGACCTAGATGTTGATTGTTAATGACGTCGGGAACGTGTGTAGGTCTAAGAGCCATGCTGCCTGGCTTTAAGAAAGCGGTCGATCTATTCATTGGTAATGAATTTTTGGCTTGCGGTGTATATCTGCGTGCGTCTGGATATTTGGTAGTGCAATCGTAGTAAAAATGTTTAAATGACTAGAGAAGGCTCTGAATAAGAAGAGAGGAAATAAGGGAGGTACATCTCACGATTGAAAGACATCCAAAAGGCGCGAGACAGGAGAGAGATGGGCAAGGGAAGAACTGGACTCGATGGCAGTCGATAACGGTGTAGAATGTAGCGATTTGAGGGGAAAGGATTCGATTGGCACTGTGTGAGAAAAGCGCTAATGTCTTTCTTATCAAGGTAAATCAGGTGGATCTTTTTGGTGAGGAGAAGGACCTTGAAATCGAGTACAGGCTTTCTTCCACCGGCACTGCTTACACCACCGACTTTTATTCACTGCGCCATAGACACGCCTGCACTTGGCGGCCTCCGAGCGTCGAAAACCCGGTTGGAAGTCGGAGGTTGAGGCGGAAACGGGGGCGGATGAAGAGACAGAGGAGCTCGGGCCGGCGTGGTAGGTGGTAGAAGGGGCAGTCACATCAACGGTGGTGACAGTAGCTGCAGCAGAGGTGGTACAGGCAAAGGTGAAAACCTGAGCACTGGGTGTTGAGGCAGAGGGAGTAAAGCTGCGCATGGTGGATGCAAGACTAGTGGGCAGGTGCGAAGACCTCTCGGGTGTGGTGGTGGTGGCGCCAACGCCGGCGGAGTGGGATGAAGCAAGGCTTGAACCAGCAAGCATGGTCTCCGAGAGTTGGCGTGCCTCCCCTTCGGTCATGAGCAGCAAGTCTAGTGCCGAGGTTCGACGCGGGGCGTGGATAGAAGAACCGCTCGTCACTGTAGCGGCGGAGGAGGTGGAAGTGGATACAGCACCTGAGGCGGCCTGGAAAGATTGCGATGGATTGAGCAGAGGAAGAAGAAGATTGCGAGCCAGCTGCTCAGGGTCCGCCACTGGCAACTGTTAATGAAAATGAATGAAGTCGAAAACTCATGCTGTTGAGAGGAGAATGCGCCTCAAATCGGAACTTTGAAACCAATGTTTGTGTGGCCTTGGGCAAAGAAAAAATCTTGATCAGTAGATTAAACGTTTAGAATAGGGGTGCAAGGCTAACACAGGTACATCAAAACCTAACGCTACTCGAATCCTGTGATGTAAAGGCCAGGAAGGAGGATCACTAGGGGAACACAAATTTACTTCATTTAAATAAATAGGGTGGTAAGTTCGTCCGGGTAATAAATTTTCTGCTAACGATTGTCCCCATTCAGCATACCGATCCGGGTAAAATGCGGTGTTGTAGTAAATCACAAACCTTATTAGACTGTCACCACTTCATTTCCTGTTTTATTTACCCACAGACACCAATTCTGTTTAACTTTTCTTGTACAATTTGTGGTTCCACATGATCAGACGGTAGACTTCAAAATAATTTTAGCAAAATGTGCATTCAAAGATGAAATACGACATGAAGCCGATCAAAAGTAGGTGGTAGATGGTTTAAAAATATACAAGTGCGGTTTTGATTCTCGTGCTTCAGTGGTAGAAATTCGACTAAATCATCACAGTCTGTGGGATAGCAAACACAATGGACAAAACACTTCTCCTGTAAATTGGGCAACGGTGGATATCCTCAATAGAATATATAGGGGTACCGTAGCTTGCATTATTCCTTGTTCAAGCTTATATATTTGCTGGGACTTTGTCTTCACCTATTTTCCATAACAAATGTGTGTCAAAACCTTACCAAATGAGAAATGGATAGCTTCTAGATCTAAAATGTTCTGACTTATTTTTGAAACATCAATTTTACGGTCAAAATAGCGAAAGAATTCGTGTGTCCGAACCCGAAAGAATGAGATCAGATAAAGATTTGGAGGGGCAATAAAAATGTATAAATCTGGTATGTCTGGGCTTAGTTCCTATCTAACGTAATGGAGTCTGGAATGAAATATTGTTCGGAGCACTCAGAAATTGTTAATGTTGCTCACTTCCAAGTCACGCTGGACGACTTTTGGACGTAGTTGAGGGGGGAAAGTCGGCCCAACGGTAGGGACAGAAAGCAGAAAAGTTTATTAGTGCTGCAGCACACACTGAACATCACAACATATAAAATGACATGTTTAACGGCAAAATTCTGACTGAAGTTGGCATTTGCTGACAGTAGGTGTCTTAGGCATTAGGAAATGCCAACAATGGCTTATGCGCAAAGCCACTTTTGGGGAAGATCTACAAGGAGTTGCCTTGTGGTTCAAAATGCGTACAATTTAATGCCTTGAATTACAAAGTTAGCTAGCTAAAATGTAAAGAACGACCAAGTCATCTGACTATGAAGTGTTTTTGAAAACCAGTTACGGCATTATGGTAAGAACTCCACTTTGCAAATGTTTTTAAACCCAAAATTTCCAATTTTCTAATTTGTGATGTCCAGAGATATGCAGCTAGAAGCCAACAAGGGGAAGGATTTATTTTCATTGAAGTGAAATCAGTAGTTGTGCGGTTGTTCGTAAGGTGATTGCTTAAGTAACGAAAATTGGCACAGTTTCGCATCTGATCGTTAACTTTTCGGAAACCTTTTACATCGAATGCATCAAAGATTGATAAACGAATACAAGATCATTTGATTCCCTAAAACCAGAATCACTTCTTATCTCCGTACGCGCAAATCATATCTGTTTAATCGTACAATCCGTCTGGGTCAAACGCGTCTAATCACACCTGAAGAGAATTACTTCAAACATTTAATTAAAAGTGGTTTTGGTGGGAAAAAGACTGAGCATACGGGACTAGTTTTGACTAAATGGTGCGGCAAAATCATAATGCATAACCCACATAACTAATACTAATTTACACCTCGGTGACGACAAACTGAATCTTGAGGTGACAAGAACACTTTCTCAGAAG